CTTAAAGGTATTATCTTTATATACCAAGACATTTGGTTGAAATCTGGATTTTTTCAAGTATTTTCAGTCAAATATGGGAGTGGTAAATAATCATTTAATCTATGTCCTTCTAATTTCACCAAATGTTCACTTAAAAGCTCAAATTATGTCTACAAGTCTACTAGTTGTCAGTTTGGACGTTCAGTTAGGAATTCTTTCTCTTTCCTTTTTAACCATCTTAAAAAGTGTGAAGTTATTTTTTAATGGTAATTGCGTCTGTATCTGAATTAAACCAAAAGATTGCATCGCTTGCACAGGAACTATATATTGAAGAGTATTCTATGATCTACTGTCTGTGACTAGAGAATCTAAAACATCCATGATAGAGACAATATCATTAGCATACAACTTGTTACCGCAAAAATATAACGGCAGAACACAGTTCAGTTTGTCTTTCTCTATATTATTCTCTGTACTCTCATAGCATATAAGGTTCCTCTCCTTCCAAATTGTCCACCAGACACTAGCCGGGACAATTATCTATCTTTTCCTATTCTTTGCCTGTTTAACTGCTTCCTTGCAGCTCAGAGGAGCTTCTGTGACTCTCCCAGGCATGGACCATGAGATTTCTGTAGCTGATCTAAAACCATTCTGTGCAGAAGAGATGGTTAACTGTCTCAGCAGTTTCACCTTAAAAAAACACTCAGGACAGCTGAATTCCCCTCTTCATTTTTTTTTGGAAATTCTCCTCTTCATTATATTATCTTGTCTAAGAACTGCTTTTGAGGCCAACAATCACACAGCACAGGCAACCTTAAGAGGTATCTGAACTTCTCAGATTTTCTTTCAGGGCTAGTTTCCTGGCATTCGAATGGGTTGATTTAGCTTTCTGTATTCAGCACCTACTTTGTAAGCTCCGTGTTTACTCTTTAGTACCTTGCCAGATTAGGATGTCTTGTCCAATGCCCAAACCTCCAACTGCTCAATTATGCTGAAAAAGTCCCACACACTCTGAATTGTCCACCAGCTACTAGCTGGGACAATTCTCCATATTTTCCTATCATTTGCCTGTGTTCCTGCTTCTTTCCAGCTCAGAGGAGCTTCTGTGACTCTCCCAGGCATGGACCAAGATATTTTCTTAAGATTAAAAGGAACAATCCCCGTAGCTTATTTATAACCATGCAGCGCAAGAAGAGATGGTTAACTTGCTCAGCAGTTTCACCTTAAAAGAAACACACTGGACAGCTGAATTCCCCTCTTCATTAAATTATCTTGTAAGAACTGCTTCTGTGTAATGAGATTAGGGAGACAAACAATCACTTCTTCCTACACTGCAAATTCACTGCCCAATTGTGGAACATGTTTTTCAGTCTCACAAAGACAGTGTGGACAATGCCGGAACATACATCTGATCTAATGAGTTATTGGATGAAAAGAGTGGAAAGTAAAAGTCAGAAAAATGGTGGAGGATAATACCCTCTTGCATATGGTGGTCAGTCTGGAGGGAGAAATGGAAGATGTTTTGAAGACAAAATCAGACCAGTCCATGATGTGAAATGGAACTACCAGGAGACTTTAATCTTTTGGTGTCAACATAACTGTATAGAGGAAATAGAGGAGTTAGTATAATTATTAGGAGCTTTGTAAAGCTAGAGTCTACTTGTTTTATAAGTTGTTTCTGATTGTGGCCAGCATTCCCAATGCTGAAGAATGCAACAGTACTAATTCTCAAAAGAACTGCTTCTGTAGCAAACAACCGCACAAAACGGGCAACCTTAAGAGGTATCTGAACTTTTCAGATGTTCTTTCAAGGCTAGTTTTTTGGATCTGAATGGGATGATTTAGCTTTCTTTATTCTGCACCTACTTTGTAAGCACCTTCTTTAGTACCTTGCCAGATTAGGATGTCTTGTCCAATCTCCATACCTCCAAGGGCTCAATTGTGCTAAAAAAGTCACATACTCTCTGAATTTTCCAGTCTTTTAGATGTCTTATAAAAGAACCTTGAGGGGATCATAACTCTGCAACTATTATGTGATTGAAGTACCAGGTTATGGATATCTGGTTATAAGAGTCCCATGATGCCAACCTCATGCCATTCATCCTTCCAAAATCTATTCGTCCACCATCTACCACTTTGATCTCAGTGTTTGGTTTCAATTCATTCCATAACACTATGGATCTCTACAAAATCACACCATAAGGTGTGGTGACCTCTTTAGTCATTCAGTTTTCTGTCTCGTCATATTTGGCTCTGATTACTTTCCTCCGTGAGTTTCTTCCAAGGTTGGTCCAAAGGGACCTGATGGTCCTCCATAGTCTTAACTCTGCAAGTGTCATTGGATTCATCAACGCATTGTCCATTTGGTCCTAACTTCTGCTGTATTATGTTCTTTCACAAGGATGATCTGTCCTCAGCATATCTCCACATCCATTTCTTGAGCAGGCTGCTATTTGTAGCTTTAGCTTTCAAAACCCCATACCTCTATGCTTCTTTCTCTGTTGCACTTTGTTCCGTTTCACCAGGTTGAAACCCTTATGCTCCTCGTTGCCATGCATAGGAAGTTTCTTCTTAATTTGTCTAGAACTTTGAGTACTTAGATGGCATAGCAAAGAGGGACATCACATAGGTTGGCAATGAATCTAGCACAAAGTTGATTAGAATTAGCCCGCCTCCTAAAGTGTACTGTAGTCACTTTTGAACTAACTGTAATTAAGTAAATAAAAATGTGTTCTCTCGCAATTTAAGCTTTTAGATGAGATAGTTACATACTTGAGCATAGTATTAGAGAGGTCCTGAGATCGAGTTTCACTGTAACCCATTATCAAAGAGAAATTTCACGTGTTTGGCTCATGAAAAAGAATTAGACCATAGGTGAGGGGTCGTGCTGAGAATGTAATTAAGCATATAAAGTGTGCTCTCATTGACAATTTAAACTTTTAAATGAGATGGTCACACTTCAACAAACTTGAATCGGCCTAAATTGCTTTTTCCTTCTCCAAGGAATTTTAACTTGGAATGCAAGCACAAGGAAGCGACTAATGTTATGAGAGCTTGGGGAATAGGGTTTTTGGAGGAGATCAAGTTTGTAGCTTTGAATTTTTGAGAACATGTAGATCTTAAAACATAGAATAAAAGGTCTTCACTCTTCATACTGACACCTTTGGTTAATTCTCTTTTCCTCGACTCATACCTATTCTAGAACTTAAACTTTCAATACGTAAGGCTAAGCAATGGACTTTGAAGTTACTATACTATTATAAGAAGAAGTATATTAAATAGACAACTTTAGGTTGATTCAATCAATGTGTCATGGTGTAGCTATTATTATATACAACTTTATGGAACATGGTGTTACTTTGTTTTTTGAGAAAATAAGGAGCACACTGTTACTCTAGAATGATAAATTGGTAAGGTGTCACTTAGAATGACTTATTGATGAGTCATGGGCTACCTTGATAGGAGTACTACAATATGTGGTAATATCTTATCATTTTCAATATATTTCTTACCAACCTGAGTTATCAAATTGAGTTTCTTAATTTTTTTTATGACAAGGAAACCCGCACCCGCACCCTTTGTGTGCATAGGGTAAAACCCCCACTCCTATGCAATAGCTCACAAACCACATAGGAGAGGTAATCCACACTAGGCAGGCCCGGTGCGACGAGGTCGATCCAGAATGCAAACCCTTTGCTTTCACTGTCAAGGGGTTTCAAACTTTGAGACCTCCAACATGGAAGTCCCAAGCTCAAACCATTGGGCCACCCCGAAGGGTAATTGAGTTCCGTAATCTTGATCACACAATTGGGCTTATTGCACACTAGCCCAATAAAATGAATCACTAGGTATGATGTTCATTGCAATTTTTTGAACAAATGCTCCTATAGCACATGTGCGCCACCTGCTTGCCCCATATGAAACATGTAAGGATGTTCAGCCTTAAAAAAATTGATGACCTTGGAACATCTTTGAATTACCATTGTTCAAGTTCACATAAAGGAAAGGAATGAAGATGATGGATTGATGAATTTTGTGCTTGATGCACTTCCAACATATATGATGTCATTATTTCCTGTCCGACCAGGAATCATCAATAGATTGGATAGCATTAGGAGAAAATTTTTGTGGCAAGGGAACAAGCAAGGGAGAGGATATCACTTAGTCAAATGGAAAACTTGATCACTGAAAAGAGAGTTGGGGGTCTGGGGATCAAGGACATGAAGAAGCAGGGCAAAGCTTTGAGGATGAAGTGGCTTTGGAAGTACTCAAATGATGATCAGAATTTGTGGGGCTCGGTTATAAAGGCAAAATATGAAGAGAGTGATAGTTGGATGACAAAGGAGGTTACCACCCCCTATGCTGTTAGCTTTTGGAAATCCATTAGAGAACTTTGGAATGAATTCAAACCTAACACCAAGATCAAAGTGGTAGATGGCAGATTTTGGAAGGATGATTGGCATGCGGAATGAAATATGGATACTCTCTTCCCTGACATCTACAGTTTAGTTCTTCAGCAGCAAAGTACTATAGCTGACTTATGGACTCCTCAAGGGTGGAATATTTTATTTAGAAGACACCTCAATGACAGGAAAATTCCAAGAGTAACAATTTTTTAGAAGCATTGATCGATTTAGTGGTCTGGAAATAGGGCGGGGCAGATTGCAATTGTTGGGAAACAGTAAAGGGATTTTCAAAGTAGGTGCAGTGTACAAGAAGTTGATCCATAAAAATTTGCAGTTACTCAAGTGGCCCTGTAGACATATATGGAAAGCCAAGATCCCCTACAAGGTGTCTTGCTTTGTGTGTGTATTGGCTAAAGAAGCAGTATTGGCACAGGAGAATTTAATGAAGAGTGGAATTACACTTCGCTCTAGATGTTTTTTCTGTGGAAAACTGCCGAAACAATCATTTGTTCATCCAATGCAAAGTCACTGGCCAGTTGTGGAATCTGTTCCTCAGACTCAAAAACATCTCCTGGTCAATGCCTGGGAGAATTTCAGAGGCTCTACATAGCTGGGAGAAGCAGGGACCCAAGTAAAAAACAGAAGTAACTGGAGAATTGTCCTTTCCACTATTTGGTGTACAATATGGTAAGAGAGAATCCTTAGAGTTTTTTAGAATAGGGGTAGTAGTATGTAACAAGATAAACTGAATTGCATTTTGACTGTGTTTTTGGTGTAATCAAAATTTACTCTAATGATACCGTCTCTATCATTGATGTCTTCGACTCATTATAGGGATAAGTCGGTATTATTAATGTTATGTAAATACAGGTTTCAGTACATAGTACTGTTCTACAGCAATAGAAACAATTACCATTTCCAAAAAATAAATAAATGTGGCTTGCATGGGTCTAAGGTTGCTCTTGTTCCTTATTTATCAGGTAATTACTTAGTTGTTCAACTAATTAGAGATATTAAGCGATCCAAATTTGTTTGTACATACAACTTGACTAATCCAACCTTAGCATGTTTATCAAATTTGGCATGTGTGACCTTAAGGGCCAACTAATGTTGTTGAAAGTATTATATTGACACAAGTATAAAGTGTATTAAGAGTTTATAGAGTATTGCGCTTATAGAAAACAAAAAAACATTATATATTTAATATAAAAATATTTAAGGTTTGTGTACACTACCCTTCCCAGAACCCACTTGTAGGATTTCACTGTGTATGTTGTTGTTTGTAATATAAATATACTTTTCGATTTGATTCTAAGATACAAATTTATTATACTAGTATATGTGTATTATACTCGATTTTAAGGTTGTAAATTTGCTTGTTACTATATTGATTTGTGTTTGATCTTGTGTACATATATTCGAATTGAGCTCTTCTCCAATTTGAAGCTAGTTTGATATATGAGCGCAACTTGATGCTATACATGTGATATCTATGTTGAACGACTCCCATTCTCTTGGTGATTATGCCAATGGCTAGTTAGAGATTACCTCTAGTTAAAAAATTACAAGTAAGATTGTATATGACACACTTTCCCATTTGGGTATAGATGCATGTTGTAGGTTGAAGTAAGAAAGGATGAACACATGACAACTTAGGAATAAGATCCACCAAAGCAAGTATGCAGCGGAGGCTTTTCTAAAATTGAACTTTGATACAATGCCTCTCCCTTCACATCTTTTTATCTTTTTAAGTTTTTGAAGATGAAACTCTGTGCAATTAATTTCCATTGAATTGCTGACCAAGATTTTATCACTGTGATTTCTTAGTTCTAGTTACAGTTTCATTTTGAAGTTCAATTCATTATCAATTGGCAATTGTCACTGCAAAATACACTAGAAAAACTAACATGGAAGGAAGTATGAAATGAAGAGACAATCTTTAAGACTTGGATTCAGCAAAATAATCAGTTTGATGAGTGCTATTCATTACATGTTCTCTTTAGAAAGAGCACCATGAGAAGTTCCTCTTGTGATCGGATAGATGAATTTCAAGTACTTTTTCCCATTAAATTTTACAATGTGCCCAAGTAGCTCGGAATTGAGGCCTATTTGTTTATTTTTATATATTGTACAATGTTCCATCAGGTTGTGTTAACATTTTATGTACTTTTGATCTCCTTACCTTTCTTTTTAAAATTTTAAATTCCTTTTGATCTTCTTATGCTTTGTACCTGTAGATCACCTTATCTTTCTTGTTAAATTTAGATTTCCTTCTGATCATCTTTTTGTGTTGTTGTTCCTGCAGGGAACAACGTATCTATCCAACAAGCATCTCATCAAGGATGGCCATCCGTTGTGAGTACCTTGAACTTTAGCGTTAAATAGAAATGCAAAGTCCATTATGGTGTTTAGGACCTCTAGGTTTATGTCAGCTTTTAATTAGTTCATTCCTTTCATATTCTACCCTGGAGTTGCTTCAATTCCCCGTCATTAGCCATCAAGTTGTACATCCCAATGTAATAGTGCCAACTAAAAAGGAACATCTTTTGAGAACTACACCCTTTCCACTATAGGATGTTCTACCAAATGTAGTTGTATGTAGTACATACATTGGATAAGCTCAAACTTCCTGCCCTTGCAAGTATTATTGATTTCTTCTGTATGTTCATTCGAGCTGACTCAAGTGGAATAGATGCAGGAGTACGTTGAATACTCAAGTAACTATTTCGCTCCTAAGGATTGTAGCATACTGCAATTATTTTAGCCATGGAAACCATGAGTTGGTTTTTAGAATTTTCTGGTTGTTGAAATCTCTTTGTAAAAACCTTGTACAACAAGTTATTAGTAGTAAAATAAGAACTGTAACTTAAGACTCAATTTTAAAAGGAGAAACCCATGTAGAAGAAAGAAAAAAAGAGAGAAATTTCAAAGTATATGCATAGTTCAGTAATCAACAGATTGAGGGACAAAATATAGGTTTACCCTACTACACTATTGTGATTGAGATTTTTTGTCCTGCCTTAACTTTTTCTTCTGGCATTTAAAAGATGTTAGTTGATACAGATCAAAGGGCCCCAGAGTTTTTACCAACTAACCAACAAAAATTAGTTCCTATAGGAGGACTTAAGGGAAGATCTGGAAAGCAACCTGCAGTGCAGGAGAATATAAACCAGCTGGGACTGCAGTTTTCAAATAAGGTATAGCTAATATCACAAAGGCTGTCGCTAGAAGCTGGTTATATTTGAATGTCGTCAAATTCCAGCAATATTTTAGCACTGCCAGAATTGAGGAAACATGTGTCCCTGTTTGGATTCTAATTTCTTATTTGTGTTTTGTATCAGAGTGGCATAAAGAGGAAAGCTCCATTGAGTTCTTTGGCATCCGTAAGATCATTTTTCTGCATCTACATTTTAAGCCCTTCATGTGCTGGTGATTCAGTTTCACTGTGTCGCTGATAAACATCATCATTTTTTTTTGGATTGGACTTCACTTTCCTAGTTTGTTCTCGTCTCTGTCACCATAATAGTCACTTGGACGAATGCATATGGAATGTCATTCTAATCTTCATCTACTTTATTCTTGCTCATTTAATATTTTCCTGAGTTGTAGGTTTGCATAAAAGCTACCATCTCTGGTGTTGCAAAGAAAAAGACTATAAGCTGCTATTCCCAAGGAGATGATGATCTGGTCAATGCAAGTAGTTCAATCGATGCATCGACGAAAAAATTTGCCACTCCGCAGGAAGGTAGGGGACAACAAGTTTAATGGTTCCTAAGAAATCTAATATTAAAAAATGATGCAATTTAAGATAATGGACTGTTGACAGAAATTGTTAATCCCCCCATAAGGACTGTACATAACTGGTGTCACCTGTTGTTTGGCTCTATAATCACCTTGTTAGGTTTGCATCTGATGTCATATTGAGAACCCAATTGGTCACAAAGGATAATTATTTTATATTGATTTGCAGAAACCTCTTTTAAAGAGATTAGTAACCTTGACACAAAAATGAGCAAGCTCCTATGTTGCCACTTCAATTCAAAAGGAGAGGTGTTGGCTACCGGTGGAGACAATGGGAAGGTTTGTCTTATTAATCTTCAACAGGAAGAGTGTCTCAACTTCTCCTGTTAACAAACTTGTACTGTGATCTATGTTAGGTTTTGATTTGGGAGTTAGGAAATAACAGAACTTGTAGTGTACAAGGTCATGCTCATCAAGTCACAGATGTCTGTTTTAGACCAAACTCAACAGCGTTTGCATCATCTTCGTTTGACAGAACTGTGAAGATGTGGGATGCAACAAAGGTACTACAACTAGTTTCCATTGCAGATCCTTTGTTGAATGAGTCTTTCAGTTACTTTTCTTTTAAGTTGTAACGACTCACAAGTAGCAGTCATTACAGATCAAATCACCAGGATATATATTCATTAGTTCTATGATTTTCTGTTCTTGGTCTACATTATTTCTTCTGATTTCTGTTCTAATATTATTCCGATTATTTTGCTTGTACTGCAATGAGAAACATTTATTATTAGCTGCTCATTGAATTTTCCATGTGACATTTATTGTCGCATTGTATTTTTCAGTAGTGAGAATACTTGGAACATTTGTCTCAATTATATCAAATATCAACACCATAATATTATGTTGTCTATAATACATTTCATTTGAGTCAATATTTGAGGAAAAACTTGCCTGTTACCAAAACATCTTTAGACCTTTAGAATCTTTTTAATTTTCTACTGATAATCAGGATTTCTAATAAGAATTACTGTATAATCACTTGAATTGCTTACTTTTGATCTGTCTATTATAACCATGATATGGTACATGTTTCACCATTTTGTCTTCGTCCAGCGAAACAATCCTTTCCAAAACCTTGTTGGCCATGATGGGCATGTGATGTCTATAGATTTTCATCCAACAAAGTTGAGTCTCCTCAGTTCTTGTGATAGCAATGGTGAGATTAGACTGTGGGATGTCAAGAGCGGTGATTGCAAGCTGAATTTTAAGGTTGGTGTCTCTATTTTCTTCTTTTTTTCTTTAGATGTTGATAAAAAGGCATCTCTATATGACATACGAAGGCTCCATACTTAGATAGTTAGCTGTTGTTTCTGTTTCTATTTCTATTTGGAGATTACTTAATTGTCCAATTCAAATCATTGTTGAATGTGTTTTTTCTTGAATCTTGCATTTGATTGTAGGAATTGTTTTTTCTTCGTAATTCCAATAAAATTTCAAGGTTTTCAAAAGAACATTTGTATCACATTCAACAATGCATTGTAAGGTGTCCTGAATAGAGTGGTTTATTGAGTATTAACTATAAAAATTCTTGAATAACTGTATTGATTAGCTCTTGGTACAAATGCAGGGAGGTATTAGTCAAGTTAGATTTCCACCTCAACTTGGGGACTTTTTGGCTAGTTCTACTGGAAATATTATAAATATTTTTGATGTAGAGACAAACAAGATCCAAAAAAAATTACAAGTAAGATGCTTATTCTTGGTCGTTTATCAAGCTTTTGTTTTATATATCTTCTTAGTTACCTAACTATATCATATCAATGTGGTTTCGTTTTCTTTGATTTATAGGGACACATCAAAGACATCCATTCAATCTGCTGGGAGACGAGTGGGAGCTACCTGGCATCTGTGAGTGAAGATAGTGCCCGGATATGGTCTGTTAGTGATGGGAAGTGTTTATATGAAGTGTACTCTAGCGGAAATAAGTTCCAGTCATGCACTTTCCGCTTTGGGCGCCCTCTAGAGTTGGTGATTGGTTCTGATAAGGTATGCTTACCACAATTTGGACATTTTCTGACAAGGGTTTGAGTTCATACACAAGTTATTTGTAGTCTTGACTCAGATCTGATGTTTATTCACGTGTAGCCCTCGATTATTTTTTCTCCTTTTACCTCACCTGTTAAATGTTGTTGCAGTTCTTGGAGGTGTGGAATCCATTCTTCCAGAGTAACATAACTAGACCATATATCGCACATTCAGGTACTATTAATTCATTAGTAGATTCACCTTCGAAAGGAATCGTAGCTTCAGTTAGTGATGATCAATGGATCAGGATATGGAAATGACACTTCTTTGAAGATCAAAAGATACAACAACCATTCTTCCTTGTTTCTTTTATCAATGAAACTACAACTGCATACGCCCTTCCGTATGCATTTTGGACCAAGAAAGGTGATGTTATTCTTGGCACATCACCAGTTGAATTAGTTTTTTGAAAGGTTGTTTCAGTTACAAACACTAACTATTGTTTCAAACTCCTCTATTTAATCTCTTTGAATTTGATTTCTTAAATTGGGAAGTTTGCAATAGTAATATTTTTGTTCTATAGTACTTGTATGTATTTCCTTGTTACCAACTTAAGTCAATATATTGTACTAGTTGTCTTCATATGATACACATTTAGAGGAAATTATAGAATAAGGATAAGTTAGAACATGATTCCCTGGATATTTAACTTACTGAAATTAGGATAACCAAAAAAGAATCAACAATGATATCCTTGGAAAACAACACTAACATAGTTGCAAGGAGATCTTCAACAAGAGGATGGGGACCTAAAAAGTCCAGAGCTTCACTAATCATCGGTCATGCTATCAGACAAATCCTCATCCCAACAAGCCTCGAATGAAAATTCAAGACCCTCGAGAGATTCATGAGGGAGCTTCCCAGAAATTCTACTACTGAAGACTTCGTTGGAGGTAACATATTTGCACAGACGCAAGTCTAGAGATACAAGAAGAGGACAACTATCAAGAATAGCTTGGAGGCCAATGAGATGAAGGTGGTGCAAGGTAGGTAGGTTTTTAGCAATAGCTAGAGCTTCTTCATTTCTTTCATCTTCGTTATCAGAGTCATCGACTGATCCCATATACAATGACTTGTTAAATTCAAATGACTTCAACCGCGGGCAACAGTGTCCAAGAGCTTCAATGCCTTGTATTGTGATAGCAGTGTGTATCAAACTCAACTCCTCCAACAATGGGAGCTTTTGAACTGCTTCAATCAAGCTTTCACATACCTTAAAATAGCAACAGGCAGTACTGAGCCTCTTCAGTTTTCCTGATCTGGTGTGAACAAAAGTAGAAATGAATCAATGAAAACAAATCACCAAACACAATCAGGCTTAGTCCAGAAGACTAGTAAAAGGTATACAGTACTCCCCCATATCAATTTAAGTGTCTACAATCCTTTCTAGTCTGTCCCAAAAAGAGTTTCTTCGTATATATATAGTAAGTTTTTCAAGTCCAACATCTTACACGGCAAGTTGATTACCTGTATAAGAGATGTACAAGACCATGGATGGCATGAAATACACTTCAGCGTAGCGGAGAAAGAAGATAAAGACAAAGCAACTTGATGCAAAAACCTAAACTTGGATACGAGCTCTGTTCAACTTCTCAGTAAATAAGATCAACATTTGAGAAGTTCATGATGAACCCTTACCTTAAACTTGTATTCTTCAAGAAAAACAAACCCTCTAATCTCTCTACATTGTTATGAAAGTGAATCATTACTAAGTTTATCAAAATGAGCACCACACAAACTGAAAAGCGCAAAAAAGCTAAGGTCCATTGGAGCTTTACACAAATATAATGTAGCCTTAAATCGAAAATAGCACAAATGGAGAAAAAAATGCAAATATAGTATATGCTTAGTATAGAACCAATAATAACAAGCATAAATAACAATATATATATATATATATATATATAGAACCCTAAGCTCGCCTACGTGGCGCCACCACAAACAAGGATTTCCCTTTAAATTTATCTATCATCAAAACTAGCCTTCCTCTTTCATGCAAAGTTGTGACTTTACGAAAAATTATGACCTTTAGGAAGAGTTATGATATAAAGAGTTGCGATTTTTATAAAAAGTTGTGACTTCTATGTAAGGTTGTGACCTTTTCGAAGAGTTGTAACTTTTCCAACGAGTTGTGACCTACACATTGTTTAATATAAATAGAGAGATTTTCTGTCACTATTATTTGTAGGTTTTTTTTTCGTTATAGGGTAGTCGAATTCAAATATATTAATTATGCTTCTTATGATGTTTGTTTCATTCCTTACCGTTTTCTTCCTCCTACTTCATGGAGATTTAATTATGCTTCTTATGATGTTTGTTTCATTCCTTACCATTTTCTTCCTCCTACTTCATGGAGATTAATCTTTACCGCAAGTCATAGTTATTCATGTAAATATAAAATTTAGTGTTTTTTTTATGAATATTTTTCATAATCTAAAACAATATTATGACCACTTTAGATTGTTTTTAAAATAATCATGACCAATTTAAACTATTTTAAAAATAAATATATAAAAAATATACTCCACAAGTAATGCAAACCTAAAGAGCTATTCAAAATCCAATGATAAAAGAAGAAAAAATATACACTACTTCAAAGGCTAAAACAAACTACTACATATATGTTTTCAAAAATCAAATCAACTATTCATCCAACATGTTACAATTAATCAAATTGTAAAACAAACCAAAGAGTCAAGAGGGTATTTCACATTCTTAATCTGTTGAGAAATTCTACCACTTAAGATTTTATCGAGACTAACACGAAAGCATCCTCTTAGATCAAGTGATTCGAGCTTAGGACATCCATCAAGAATAGCTTCAAGACCTTCATTCGTCACACTATTACAGATAAGCTTAAGGTGACGCAAAACAGACAGATTTTTAGAAATAGCTAGAGCTTCAACGTTTCTTTCTTTACCTAAACTCATATGACAAAAAATGTTGTTCAACTCAAATGACTTTAAGAGTGGACAAAAACGTCCAAGAGCTCTAATGCCTTCTTCTGTGATACCATTATATGTTAGACATAATTCTTCTAACATTGGTAGCTTTTTTACTACTTCAGTCAAGTCTTCAGGATCCAACTTTGAGTTGCACCATGCAATGCTAAGTCTTCTAAGTTTTGGTGATCTGATGAACAAAATATAAAAAAATAAATGAATTAATGACTAATATATTAAATAAAACACATATTTCTCAATAATTTGAACCCATAAAGGAGAGGAAAACTAGGATTTAGATATATTTCACTTTCATATATATTATCATTACCTATAATTTCAAAATATTATCTATCTTACGACTAATTAAGAGTTTCCAACGCGTCTTACACTTACTTATATACATGTATTTTGCTATTAGATACACAAAAGTAAAAAGAGAGCCAAGAGAGATTGGGGAGAGAGATACATACGAATCTCACTAGATATACATTAGATACAAGTATTTGTATGTATTGGAATGATTCGCACAACAAAAATAAATAAAGTGGGTTAAAGTCTTTACAAGGCATTAGTTAAGTGTCATTGTAGATTAAATATCGGATATACCAGGGCTATTGCCACTAAAAATACATATTTAGCGGCAACTGAATTATTGTCATTAATTAATTGACGTTAAAGATCATTTATGATGTAGTGACATGATACATGGAAGAGTGCGGCTAATATTGGATATCCAGAACAAATTACACTTAAACGTGACCTCATATATTATATCCGGATGTACCAAAATCTGGTAAAATAGTAATATTGCAAACTAAAGTGCATCCACGTAATTAATTAGATACTAAACTAGTGGTATTTACGTAAACGAAAAAAAAAGGCAATTGACTATAAATACAGTTTTTTTGCCAATCTTGGTTTGGAGTACTTGATCAAAATAGTTACGAAAATTAATTTAGATTATGAATTTGGGCACAAATTCTTTAAAATAATATTTAACATAATTGAAAATCTTATTAAAAAAATATTATAAATCAACACAAAAATATCAAAAAAAAAACAGTGAACAGTGATCTATAAACACAAATAAAAATTTCGGAAGCGTCTTTTGATCATGAATTTAGCTATATATTCTTTAAAATATGTTAAATTAAAATTTAAAATAATTGAAAACCTTACGCAAAAAAAAAGTACAATCGAAATATAAACAAACATTGTAGGTGTCAAAAATTACCTTCAAGTAACTCTTTGGTGGCATAATAGGTCAATTTTATATCAACTAGTTCACCTTGACTTCAATTAACCGTGTCACAACACACGTATGGAAACACGTGTGAGTTAGTGAGGCTGCGACAATTAGACATGTCAATAACATGCCACATGAAAGATTGATCGAGAATTCGATTCCACGTAGTACACACTTTTTGTGCAATCAATAATCTCTCTGCCAACCTCATTAATATATTCTCCCATAATTCTTCTGGTAATTCTAACCACGATCTATTCGAGTTTTTGTTCTTGTTCTTGCTCTTGTTCTTATTTTTTCCTCTTATACCCATTGTTTTGCTAGGGTTTGAGTTGTATAAAAAAAAAGTATTAGGTAAGGATTTTAGGTTTATATAAATTTAAAATATATTTAAGATAGAGTTTTAATTATGTTAGTATTACTTTTAATAAATTTATTAGACTATATATAAATATTATATACGTAAAGTTTGTTCTTTTAAGTTAAGAAATAAAAGAAACATTTTCTTTTTGAAACCTTTTATGTTACACCCAAATGAAGTCCTATACATTTGAAACCTTTTAGGAGTAATTAAATGTATCTAATATTTTGAATTACAAATTATAAGGTATTAATGATTTTGAGTAGCAAATTATAAGTTATTAGATATCTTTTTTTTCGTATAATTTTTTTTAAAAATATTTATTTATATATGATAAATAGTAATTTTACACTTTACTTTCGTCATGTTAGGCGCAGTACTATTCGTCTATTCGTATGTTGTTTTGTGTTAGTTCGATTATAGGATTATTATCGTAGTACTATTCTGTTACTGTCTGTTATTTTATATTATCTCTTATACTTCAATCACGCCTTTTTTTAAGTTAATTTTTTTTTGTTTTGAGTCGAAAATTTAACATGAGCTGTCTCTCTATCTCACCTCTGAGGTAAATGTAAGGTCTCTGCATACACTCAATCCTACCAAACCTCACTCTGTGAGACTCCTAGTGTTATCGATTTTAGTAGATAGGAGTGTATTGTCTTGTTGTTGCCCTTACTATTTGTATAAGTTCTTGTTCTTCAATTGATGTTACCTATATCTGTTGTTTTGTGTTTGATCGATTATAGGGTTATCTTCGTAGTATTGTTATGCTACTATCCGTTGTTTCTGTTGTTTTATATTATCTCTTGTACTTCCATTACACCTTTTTCTAAATTGTTTTTTATCTTGAGCCGAAAATTTATCAAAAAAAAAAACTATCTCTACTACCTAACCTCTGAGCTAAACGTAAGGACGTAAGGTCCGCATACACTTTATCCTCTCAAACCTCACTCCGTAAGACTACACTGAATATGTTATTGTTGTTGTAGTATCATCGAAATTTCCTTCCTTCGCAACCAAATTTAGGAAAAAGAAGTGTACATAGAAATATGAATAATTCACAAAAGATGATTTGTTTTTCTTATAAACATAAGGAGTAATACAAATTTTAGAGAGCACCAATGTTTTTGAGTCCAAGAACAACTCCAACACCAATAATATGACCCACAGTACCACAAGCCAAAGTATCAGCAAGTGTAAATCCAGCAGGGTCCCCTGTCTGTAACCCAGAGTCCCTCACTTCAAGTTTTAGCCCTGCAGTTGCCTTCCTGTTTGCTGATGGTGCTAGACCAAATCTACCAGCAAACAACATCAGGCTTGTTGATGTCACCATTATCTGTCAGATTACAACGTCACGTAAGATACATGTGTCAAGACACAGTTATCAACTGAAAATAAGTTAAGAAAAGACACGAAAATATATGGCGTGTTAACTAATATGATTATCTAATACATGTGTCAGACATAGTTATTAGCTGAAAACAAGTTAACAAAAGACACGAAACTATATGGTGTGTTAACTAATATGATTATCTCATACATGTGTCTGACATAGTTGTTAGCTGAAAACAAGTTAAGAAAAGACACGAAAATATATAATGTGTTAACTAATATGATTATCTCAATTGAAATTATCTAGTATTGTAAAAAGAATTTTTACGTTCAGAAATTGAACCCCCTTGAAAAAATACATTGTATAAATATGACAAAAAACATACAATTTTTTTTGG